CGCGAGTCTCTGAGTTTTTGCAAAACTACGCCCCCTCTGGCGACAAGCGAAACTGCAACCAAAGGTGTGTCTTCGCTGATACGGAGAATGGCGGTGAATACACAATCCTGCCAGACATCGCCAGAATCCCGAATCCCTCTTATTTATTTTACTGTGCAGGATTATAGTATATATATTATACAATAATATATTATATATTTTTAAAAATGTTGTGCTAATGTTTTAAAAACATTATTAAAGACCAGATGACTTGTATTAATATAAAACAGAAGGTTTGTTCATAACATTGAAAGAGCTGCCCACCTTTGAGTTCCCGTCCGTTTCCTTGAGCAAACCTGTGTAGATGACCTTATCACAGCGACATCTCCAAATAAACACTGACAGGCCTTTAGAGAACGCTAAACTCAAGCTCGCTCTTAAATCAAGCCCTGATTCAATCAGACGGCCCACATTGAGCATTTGGGCCAGAAGAGAGATCAAATCAATATTTACCTTAAATATTAATGCTGTTCAGAGTCAGAAACATGATGCAGTAACTAGTGCTCGTACCCGGAGCGGGTGAAGCGGGTCGGTTAAGGGCAACATCAGGGCGGCTGAGGTTTCTGCTGATTAGCACACACAACAACACTGAAAGTGCAGAGAACAGACGGAGAGCAATCCTGTCATGAAATTTGAAGACTGGATTTCAGTCTCACAATCAGACAATCATGATCATCAGAGAGCTTAAATAAAGTTCAATTTGAGGCGTCGTTCTTTTATTGGCTTTAATGCAAACGATGCCGAACTACACACTGAATCATGCGCTGTGATTGTGAAATAAATTGTTGTTTTATTAAACATGTAGTCAACTAAACCCTCTGGTGCTCGTCAGACAGTTCTGGCTGAAAGATTTAAACATTTTTTTAAAGAATTTTTTACTTCATCGGAATGGCACGAAACTTGGTAACAGAACGAACGAATCTTTTTCCGAGTCAAGAACAAATTGACTCGGAAAAAGATTCGTTCATTTTGATGAACGAGTTGAACAGGAGAGTCAAAATGAACAGGTCTATGCTCAAAATGGATTATAATAACTACTGTGCATAAATATAATTAAGCAAAATCCCAAACTATTGATAAAACTAAAATAGTACGCTACAAAAAAAAAGTAAAGAAAAAAATCTGTACCTTTGACCGCCATGTTTGAATTATCTCGTTTAATCCGGGAAAGTTATTCAAACGTACATTTTTAAGTTGAGATAACTAACTAATAACTATAACTAATCGCAACAATTTTTTTATGGAGTGGGCTAGTGTTGGGTGTAACTAATTACTAAGTAATTAATTACTGTAATTTAATTACTTTTCCCTTGAAAATGTAAAGTAAGGGATTACTCTGTAATTTAATTACAGTTACTTCTGATGTAATTGAGGTAAATCAATCCGATCCCACAGTGATTCGTATGCATTTTATGAGGTGTCTAAATCGTACGACCGCACTCGTACAAATTCGTATGAATTATTGTAAAATATGTATGAAAAAAGTGTGAAATGTCATGAGATCAGACATAAAACAGTGGGTTTAACATTAAAATGTACTGTCTGGTGCTAAAAAGTATGTTTTTATAATGTAACCTTCTCCACCTTGGTCAGTTTAAGGATAATTCATGCAATTTTATAGTATTTATTTGAAAGAATTAAAACAGATTCGTGTCTGGGATTTTGAAAGTAATTAGTAATTAAAAGTTCAAAATACTTTTTAGAGAGAGTAATTAGTACAGTAATCTAATTACACTGTTGAAGAGGTAATTAGTAACTAGTAATTAATTACTTTTTTAGAGTAACTTACCCAACACTCCGAGTGGCTATATAAAAATAACCACCACTTATTGATAATGTCTTTACACTAATGCTGAAATCTTCTGAAGTCGTGATGATTACGACGAGTTCGTCGTGTTCAAGTGTTTTGTTCTCGGAAAGAATAGGAATCATGGTTTATTCCTGCCTATTTATTGAGGAAATCTTATTAAAGCCAAATATTATGGATATTCAGCATCCCATTCCTTGACAAAACAAACAATCACTGCACGATCTAGATCATTTTCTCAAATACAGCCTATTTTTGCTGTGCATAAATCATGTAATATGCTTCAAATGATTATCCATGTAAATATGCATCACTTAAATAAAAAAACTAATAAATAATAAGTCACAGCGGCAATCATTCTCCCCTCTGGCATGTTTAAAGATTATGGCCCCTAATAAATGTGGTAAATATGAATGCTTGAATGCCCTTTAATATCACCAGAATGCACTTACAAATTACAAATATTCTCGGCTCTTTGACTAATTACTTTTATTTTGTAAAAGCATCAGCTAAATGCATAAATGTAAATGTGTTCTGTAAAACAATATGTTTGCATGTGTGTATGTAGTCAAACATCATGATGTCAACTTTTGGAAAGTTGAAAACTACGATTCCTGAATTGGTTCGCGTTCAGAGAAAACACTGAGACCAACAGCCTTGCTTGAAGTGTGTGAATGCACGTTTGGACAGTTTGCATGCCAAATGCATGAATGTAACACTTGGACATAATCAGGTTCCAACAACTAAAATAGAATGTTTGAAAGCACTTTAGAACACAAGTGTGATTCCAGGGGATTCCGGATGAAGTGAAGGTGACTCGCATCTGGTCAGATCCGGTTCAATAAATAATTCCCGTCACTGGGGATCAGGGCTGAACGTGGAGTTGAACATGCCATGAAAACATGCTCTGATTTGTTGCAGTCAGCACTATGTATGGCTTTGAGCTGCAGACACTAAATGGGAAGTGAAAGGTGAGGTCACGGCTGACGGCGCAAGAACCAAACCAGAACCAGCCTGACCTACAACACACACAAATGATGGACGTTCAATTAAAAGCAGGAGATTTAAACACATTTCAGCATTTTCATACAGTGCCTATTTCATAAGAAATGTCTGTTGCTGCTAAAACAAATATCATTCCACTTTTTAAAAAACTTTTGCTGATAATTTACTCGCCCCCATGTCATCCAAGATGTCCATGTCTTTCTTTCTTCAGTAGAAAAGAAATGAAGGTTTTTGATGAAAACATTCCAGCATTTTTCTGCATATAATGGACTTCAATGGGGACCAAACGGTTCAAGGTCCAAATGAGAGTTTCAGTGCAGCTTCAAAGGGCTTTAAACGACACCAGCCGATGAATAAGGGTCTTATCAAGCGAAACGATCGCTCATTTAATAAATAAATAACAAAGTTTAGGTTTTATAAGCACAAATGCTCGCCTTGCTCTGTTCTGTGATGCACGTCCGTGACTCTCCTGTTCGAACTCGTTCATCAAAATGAACAAATCCTTTTCCGAGTCATTTTGGTTCATTCACACTAACTGCCTTTCATAAAGCTCTTACTATCAAACTTTTGATTTGCGTCTCTTTTTGTTCAGTTTAATACTTTTGTCTATTATTTAATCCAACAGATCTTAATGGTTAATCAATGAATCATTTGGTAGATTTTCATTTCAGCAATATACAGTATATGGATTTTGAGAACTACAGAAATAAAATGTGTGTTTGTATGAATATTTACAGTAAATTACATGTAACCAGTAACCACACATGATGAATACTCATTATAGCTAATTGATTTCACATAGTGGTAACCACAATTGGCCACTATATACGTAAATGATTGTAGAGGATGTCTTTATTGCTCCTTCACTAGATTACATGATGGATATTTGGAAATGATAGATTATGTAAATGTTGGGTACTGTAAGTGTATTGCCTATTGTTACAGTAAAACTGTGTAATCTGTCTTTTACAGTATAGCACTGTAGCATATTCATCTCAGCACTTCTAAGGCCGATTTGAAACATGGATCTTGCATTGTTTGCTGTTGGATGAACTGATTGTTAAAAGTACTAAACTGAAAGAAGATCATATTGTTGTGTTTCAGTGATTAAACCAAATGTTCTCATTACATATTACAATTGTGTTTGAAATAATGATTATGTGGACTGAAAACATGTGCAACTGACTGAAAGCGTTACATCAGGTTTTGAAAGATTGACTAGCTGCGTTACAAGTGTCATCAGCTGGATTTTTGTACTAAGAGTTTTGAAAATGTACACCTTACTTGTGAAAATAGTACCAAAGCGAATAAAAACAAACTGTAACGTGATTTTCCCCCACATTCATCAGTTTTGCGAAGACAGTGAAGCGGATCGAGACGCGATCAGCGGTGACTGATGATGACCAACACGTCAAACACACATGAGATCTCCTCAATACCTCAGATGTTTCTCCAGTGCCATTCGATTAAGAGTTCAGATGTTTCTCCTGAAATCTAAACCTCAGTAATCTCCTAATCCGACTCATTTACACATCGCTAAATACTGAAATTCAAAACATGTGGAGCTACAAAAAATGTGCAAAAAATTATATTTTGCATGAATTAAATGCATCTCACAATGAAAACAATGACATTCATTTTATGATATAATAGTAAAAAGTGTTAATTGCAATTATATTTTCACTTATTATTAAAATTATTAATGTTATGTGTCCGGTCTCTTATCAAATGAATAATGAATAATAAAAAGCAAAATAATAATGAAAGAAGACGATTTTAATTAAAAATATATACAAATAGAATAGATCAAATTTATAATTTGACTAAAAAATTTTTTTTTTGTTTTGTTTTTTTTTTTTGCATTACAGTGATAAAAATTTAGGGCATACATATAGGGCTTATATATTTTTTTATTCAAAGTAGCCTACACTTTCTTATTCTTCCTTTGGTCCTGAAATATGAGTGGGACATTTTCTTGACACATTTAACAACAGCTAAAATCATTCAGCCATTTGTGATCACGTATGATGTGACACGACATGAAAGGTAGGAAGTGTGTGTGTGAGAGCGAGAGAGAGACAGACAAAGAGCCACTACATTGGTGTTTTCTCTCTGTTCCTCTCTCTCTCTCTCTCTCTCTCTCCTCACGTCGACTCGTTCCTGATTTCTGTGTTAACTCTGGATCTGTAAGGATGAACTCTGTAAATGTCAGGAAACCTGCTGTGAAAATCTCATGAAGAACTGAAGACACACTTCATCCAGGAATTAAACACGCCAGATCGTCATGGATCTTTCGTTTATGGCTGCGCAGGTATGAGATGTTTGACGTTACGTTTTAAAGATGCGAGCTTTACATGCACATCATCCGAGAGATCCTCCGCATCCGCTCAGCTTCTTCATGTCTCATGTGCAATTAACCACTCATTTACTTTACTGTGTGTGTGTGTGTGTGCATGAGAGAGAGACATTGTCAAGACGATCTGCTGAAGTTACATCTGATCATCAGAACATTTTATTTCAAATAATATCAAAATGGGGGGGGGAAATCTAAAAAAAAAAATGTTATATGAATATTATAAATGCTAAAACTAAACAATACATAAATATAAATTAAAAATAAATTGATTTATTTTCTGGGTTAGACCTCACTGAAATCTGTGAATTTGTTCAACAGTTGAACCGATTCCTCACTTCTTGTGTTATTTGATGAACTTAGACTTGATTTGTCCACATCCATCACAGTGAAGACAGAACGTGTGAACGATTAAACGTTTTTATTTCTCATTTTTAGACCGAAAGAGAGATGAGATGGATAGTAAATGCGCGGTAACACAAATGCTCATTCGATGACTTTTTGAATGTGACGATAACACAAGAGCAACGGCACACACGCTCCATTACTGGAGGAAAAATGATTCATGAATCGAACGCTGTGATAAACGCTATTGTTCACAAACTCTTTGAGACGGGCACAAATAAACAGGCCTCCCATGAGGCCGTTCAGCAACACCAGCGGACAGCAGGTGCTGAACAATCACAATCTCCAACACCATCACCGGCGGCCCGGAGCTCACGTTTCACAGCAGGAGTGTATCTCGCTGTCAGCTCGGCCCCGGCGGGCACCGGCGGGCACCAGTGACCCTCTCCTGCGACACACTGCACACTTTCATCAGAACGTGTCTGCTAAATAACAGCATGAGTGTGTGAAGGCATAAACAACTATTAGTGTTTCACAACAAAATGCTATTTCAGTCTTTCACTACAAGATGGCGTGTTTAATTCATTTAATTTCTTTGTAATTATTTGGGAAATTTAAAAAGCATTTTCTTAGGAAAGTGTTATTTCACTCTAAAAAATGCTGGGTTGTTTTAACCCAATTTTGGGTCAAACATGGACAAACTCAAACATTGGGTTAAAAATGTAATTTAAAAACATAACCCAATGGCTGGGTTTGTACATATTTGACCCAAAATTGGGTTAAAACAACCCAGCATTTTTTACAGCGTATTATTTTTGTATTTACTATTATAATTTGTATTACTATTTTGAATCAGGGTTTGTTTTTATATTTTTAGTATTTTACTCTAAATGTTTTTTTTTTTGTCATTTTTTGTGGTTTAGAAAAAACTATTTAATTACATTTAAAGTTCAATTTATTTTTATTTATTTCCAGTTAGTAATTGTAATGCTTCAACTTAAACTTATAACATTTATTTCGGTTAAATTTATTTTTATTTCAGTTTTTAAATTTTCATTTCATTTTTTACATTTTTTTAAATTTCATTTTTTTTTAGCAATTTTAGTGATTCAACTTGAAATGATTACATTTATTTAGCTTAAATTTATTTATATTTCACCTTTATTTTACTCATTTATTTATGGTTAGACATTTTTGTGCTTAAAATTATTTTATTTATTTAGGTTAAATTTATTTATATTTCAGTTTTAATTTTTATTGATTTCTAGATAGTCCTTCAACTGAAACTTATTTGATTAATTTAAGGGTTAAATATATACAGTATATATATATATATATATATATATATATATATATATATATATATTAGTGCTTCTTCAATTATTTGCAAATTTGAAAGATTGCAATAAGTTGAAGTTGAAGAAGCACTAATATTTATAATAATTAGTGCTTCTTCAACTTCAACTTATTGCAATCTTTCAAATTTTCATTTAGTTTAAGTTTTTCAACTAATATTTATATTTTATTTTATTTCAGCTTTATTTCAATACCAAATAGATTTGGTAAACGATAATAATTCTGGAGAAGATGCATTTAATGCATTGACTCTGAAATATGGACACTGTATTATAAGTATTATAATTATATATTATTATCAAAACTACATCTATTGTTGTTTTAGGATTTCAAAAAAAATAAATAAATAAATAACTTTCTTTTGATCAAATGTTTCAATTGCAAAGTGTGTGCATGCTTCCAAGTGAGTAAACGATCTAAAGCAATGGCATTCATACATTATTAATTCGCCTTGCGGTCACTGTACAGTGTACAGTAATGTAGGGGTCATGTAAACTGATGCATTTCTTGCTGTCAAGTTTATTTATGAGCTGACCATGAATCCAGCGCTTGAAAAATGAGAACGGAGTGCCTCGAGAACAGGAGTAGCTTGCTTTAGTAATTTATGAACTGTATTTCAGTGGCGTGATGTTTTGAGACTGTTAACTTCGAGCTGAAACCACCTGAGGTTTGATTTTACATCTCAAGAGGAGCGTTCATACATTACATAAGCACTCGAGACTCCTCATTTATACTTTATAAGCTCGTATCATAAACATCACATTAACCAATGATATGTAAATACCATGGTAAATACTTTTTTTTTTTTAAATCTCTTTAAAAATCAGCATCCCCTCGCAGAGGTTTTTGTTGTTGTTTTGTACCCCAGAAGATTTTTGGTTTATGGGTTTATTAAGGTAAACTTACACCTTTTTAAGACAAATAAAGTCAATTTAAGGACTTTTTTTTTTTTCATCAATTTTACAAAAAAAACGGAGCTTTGAGACATTATTGAGATCTCCTCTGAACAGCGGTAAATGACCTGCCGCACTAACGCAGCCGTAATGACAAACTGAAGAAAATAGAGTCATTAAAAGAGCTCTTATTCCAATCATATTCCTCTCTTCTGATTCATACAAGTGTGGAGTTAATCGAATCAGCTCTGTCGAGCTCACCAAAATTGGACAGTTGAAGACTCTGACGTCTGAGTCTCGATTTCTGTTGAGACATTCAGATGGTAGAGTCGTAAACAGAATGAGAACATGGATCCATCATGCCTTGTTCCCACTGTGCAGGCTGGTGGTGGTGGTGTAATGGTGTTGGGATGTTTTCTTGGCACACTTTAGTGCCAATTGGGCATCGTTTAAATGCCACGGCCTACCTGAGCATTTTTTCTGACCATGTCCATCCCTTTATGGCCACCGCATGTCCCCATCCTCTGAGGGATACTTCCAGCAGGGCTTCAAATTGGTTTCTTGAACATGTCAATGAGTTGACTGTACTAAAATGGCCGCCACAGTCACCAGATCTCAACCCAATAGAGCATCTTTGGGATGTGGTGGAACGGGAGCTTCGTGCCCTGGATGTGCATCCCACAAATCTCCATCAACTGCAAGATGCTATCCTATCAAAACGGGCCAACATTTCTAATGCCACGTAGAATTAAAGGATTAGTTCACTTTTGAAAACACTTTTGCTGATAATTTACTCACCCCCATATAATCCAAAATGTCCATGTCTTTCTTTCCTCAGTCGAAAAGAAATTAAGGTTTTTGATGAAAACATTCCAGGATTTTTCTCCATATAATGGACTTCAATGGGGTCCAAACAGTTCAAGGTCCAAAAGAGAGTCTCAGGTGCAGCTTCAAATGTCTTTAAACGACACCAGACGATGAATAAGGGTCTTATCAAGCGAAACGATCGGTTATTTCAAAACTTATTACAAAAATATAACTTTTCTAAGGACAAATGCTAGCCTTGCTCTATTCTGTGAGGCGCGTTTGTAACGTCACGTAATACGTAATTACGTTCAAAAGGTCACGGGCGAAACAAAATCGTCCGACATCGTTGTTTTACCTTTTAATTCCTTTTTTTGTAAACGGCGTTTGAGTTAGTTTGCACGTTCAACCTATGCGTTCAACTTGTAAACACTGACTCTGTACTTCCGGCTACGTCGCCCGTGACCTTTTGAACGTAATTACGTATTACGTGACGTTACAAACGCGCCTCACAGAATAGAGCAAGGCTAGCATTTGTCCTTAGAAAAATTACATTTTTGGAATAAGTTTTGAAATAACCGATCGTTTCGCATGATAAGACCCTTATACATCGCCTGGTGTCGTTTAAAAACATTTGAAGCTGCATCTGAAACTGTTATTAACTGTCATTTGGACCTTGAACTGTTTGGTTCCCATTGAAGTCCATTATATGGAGAAAAATCCTGGAATGTTTTCATCAAAAACCTTCATTTCTTTTCGACTGAAGAGAGAAAGACATGGACGTGTTGGATGAGATGGGGGTGAGTAAATTATCAGCAAAAGTTTTTTCAAAAGCGAACTACTCCTTTAAGGCGAAAGGGGTCAAACACAGTATTAGTATGGGGTTCCTAATAATCCTTAAGGTGAGTGTATTCCCTGGAAGAGCTCCTGATGCTGCACAGATGTGTCTGACTGAGCTGATGTGCACTCAAGAAAATATCACTTTTACCCTCAAACCGCGTTTCTTCTAGTAGTGGAAGTCGGTCATGTTGTGGCTTGAGGTCTGTTTCTATCTAGTCCCTCTATAGTCTCCTGTCACAAACATCACAATGCCTCACTGGAGATCCTGCTGTTGATCAAGTGAGGTTGAAAACTACACCTTCTGCAAATGAAATCGCCATAAATAATGGCTTTCCAATCACAGATGAGGAAAAGATGACCCAAAAGTGCTCTTAAAGGAGTAGTTCACTTTTGAAAAAACTTTTGCTGATAATTTACTCACCCCCATGTCATCCAAGATGTTCATGTCTTTCTTTCTTCAGTCGAAAAGAAATGAAGGTTTTTGATGAAAACATTCCAGGATTTTTCTCCATATAATGGACTTCAATGGGAACCAAACGGTTCAAGATCCAAAAGAAACTTTAAGTACAAACTGCAAACTTGTTCAAAGAGCTTTAAACGATTCCAGACGATGAATAAGGGTCTTATCAAGCGAAACGATCGCTCGTTTTATAAATAAATAACAAAGTTTATGTTTTATAAGCTCAAACACTCGCCTCGTTCTGTTCTGTAACGCACTCC